TTATATAAGAAAACACTCTTTCTTCAACTTCTCTTCTTTTTTTTCCTTAGCCCTCTAAAACAACAATCAAGAAGTCATTAATGAAGAAAAAAGGGGCTTTAGAGACAAAAGATTGAGTCTTTAAATGCACAAGAAAGCTTAAAATTGGCTCAAAATTGACATTTTTGGGGTTTTTTTATATATAAGAAAACAGTCTTTCTTCAATTTCTCTTCTTTCTTTTTTTCTTTTTTTCCTCTAAAGCAACAATCAAGAAGCCATTAATGAAGAAAAAAGGGGCTTTAGAGACAAAAGGATTGAGTCTTGAAATGTTCAAGAAATGTGACTATTTGAGGAATCTTGAAAATGGAACATGACCAAAAATGCTGGAAAGCCCTTAAATTTAGGAAATAAAATGTACCAACGAAGAAAAACCCATGTCAGAAATGAAGAAAACAGTGTGTGTGTGTGTAGAAGAAGAAAACAAACAAACAAATACTAAAAAACAAAGGGACACAGAAAACCTGGGACTAAGCTAGACTAGCTGAGCTGAAAACAATATTTAAGAGTATAAAGAAACAAGTGACTAATTGTTAGTGTAGTACCAAGTTGTTCAGAAAAACAAAATTTGGAGTAGATTAAGGTTGCAGAGAAAAAAAAAATGGATTTTCAAAGGACAAACATGGAGCTAGACTGTGAGGGGGGTGGGGTGGGGAATGGGTACAACGTTGATTATGTAACTGATTTTCAAGGGGTCAGGTGTTTTTGTGTGTGTTTATATGTCTGTTGTGTTTTTTGCTTTGTATAGAGAAAAAGAGTGACATAAAAAGAGGGAAAAGTGTGTTGGAATTTCTGGAAAAAAAGGTTAAAAAGAGGAATCTGTGAGTAATACTAACAGAGGGATATAGTATTTTTTTACAATCATCCCATATTGAAAGTCCACTAAAAAAGCCGTTTGGTGCACGAAATATATTATGTCACGCAGGATTTAGGATTCGGAGAAGAACCGCACTCCAAGAGAGTGTAATATAGGCATTTTATCCTAATGCAAACATCATTAGCTAATTTTACGTATCGAATCCGTGACCTATAGGTAGGTGCGAAGCTACACTATAGTAAGGGTGGTCAATTGACCACTCTTCGTCGAAAAATAACATTACATATATAGGTAAAATATTAAGTCTTTTTAGAAGGAATATTAATTTGTCTGAGATTCTTTTTTTTTTTTTTTTTTTTTTTTTTTTTTTTTTTTTTTAAGTTTGAACACCTCACTTGCACAAAAATAACTATACTGTTATTTTAATTGAAGTGTCACAGGAAATGAGGAGTCATGAGTCAATGAAACTGTTTAAGTCTACTGTAACTGTTAGTCTGCCTCCTTAGCTGGTTACACATTTTCCTTCTTTTTCCAGTTAGGACAACAGTGTGCTGAGTTGTTCTTGTTTGAAATTGAGGATAAAGATGTTCAATCCTTATAACGGAATTGTAATGATTCTGTATTATAGATGGCCAAATTCATAGACAGCCCTCAACATGTCCTCTTCATTACTTTTCTGCTATTTAAACATGATGAAAATCGTTTTTTTTTTAATCGAGGGCCTTGTATAGGTCCAAATTTGGTGACTTAGCGGTAACAAATAAGTAAGACCAAGAACGGGGTCTACCGTAATATAACGACCGAAGGTTATTCTCACAAAGGTTGGTGTCAAAAGCGGGCAGCCGAGATAAGAGCATAACAGTAGCATAGATTCAGAAGTGGACATAAAGAATATTCTTTTAGATATTCCTTATGTTATACTTTTTAGAATTTTTGGGAAATATCCCTTATAAATAGGAAAAGATAGGAAACAAAAAGGTAATCTTATGAACCTTTGGAGAAAAAACACATTGTAAAAGTTGACAAAAGAGAATATCAAAAAGTTGTCTTGTTTATTGATAATATTATTGAAGCACGCGTTCTTCAATCTTTATCCATAAATCCAAAGATTTCATATACATCCTGACTTCTTACTTTTTCACATCGTAGACAGAGGAAAGAAACATCTCAATCATATAATAATTGGGTGGTAGATCCTTTCTCATTACATTCATTGTCATTATTTACAATTATTACATATTTATGTCATCATATTTATTGTCAATCATAGTGTGTTAAATCCGTTATTTAATGCTCTTGAGCCCTACTCGTTTCACAAGTGCTATATTTTATTCGGTCTAGAATCTATTAAGTTCAACTAAGATTCGCCCCTTTAATTCATCATTAATTGGTTTAACAATTATTTGTTCAAACAATTTGGCGCCGTCTGTGGGGAGGTCTTAGTTGAAATTTTAGCTCCTTCTAGATCACAAAAAAGACTGTCATCTCTTCTTCGCTTGTACAAACTAATGATGGTAGGAAAAGGAGAAGCAAGACAGAAAGCCATAGCAGGTGTCACTACCAACATTTTGAACACTATCAACGAGGATGACAGGGAAGACAACGAGAATGTAACACCAAACGCTACACTCAAGCGGAGTGACTCACCTCACCCCCCCCTCATGAGAGTGTAACCGCTTCACGCGAGAGAGGAGCGTCAACGTCCACGGCTGAGGAAACACCACCAGCAGTGAGAAAATTATTGGAAGAATGGATGACGAGCACTCTAAACAACATACTCGACAAACTCGTGCAAAAGGAGAATAGAAACACCGTGGAAGCAGATATTACAATGATCACCGGCGAATAGTCCCCCCCCTCCCACAAACAGGTAACACTCACACCACTGCTGATGCAGGTAATGACGCAACGATAGCTATTCTGGAGACAATTGAAGAAATGGAAAACGAAAACAAGGCACTCCGCGACCAGATGAGAGAGCATCAAGAAAGGGTCGATAAGATACCGGGCGCCCCAAAGTTGCTACCAAAACGAGACATTGGTCGGTTCCTCGAACAACCGTACAGTGAGGAAGCGGCTCCACATGCCATTCCCAAAACCTTCAAAATGCCACCGTACTTAAAGATATACGACGGTACTACAGACCCCGAAGATCACATCATCCATTATGTCACGGCGGTGAAGGGCAACGACCTTTCAAAGGAGCAAGTACCATCAGTGTTACTGAAAAATTTCGGCGAAACCCTAACGGAGGGAGCCTTAACCCGGTATTCACAACTGCCGGCATGGTGAATAGCAATGTTTGAGGAAATGGCCGACAAGTTTGTCACTGTCCATGTCGTGGTTAAAAGGCGGAGGCCAGGGTGAATGATATATTCGTCGTTAGGCAATCACTTGGCGAGGGACTCAGGGACTTCCTCGCCCGGTTTAATAGGGTGAGAATGAGCCTACCAAATGTATCAGAAGGGATGACGGTAACAGCTTTTCAGAACGAGTTGAACAGGAATGGGTCAAGAGCAAACAAAAAGTTACTAAGCAGGCTCATGAAATACCCTCCCACCACTTGGGAAGAAATCCACAATGCCTACTGCGCCGAGGTGAGAGACAACGAGGACGACCTTAATGTCCTGACCCAACGGTTAACATCAGTTCAAACGGAGTCAAGAAACGATCGTCGTAACGATGGACGAAGAGATCAATCGGGCCCCTGTCCCAATCGAGAAATACATCAACCCTATGTCAGAACAGTCGTCCCACCGTCTCCTCGACATGCGGAAGGGCCGTCCATGCTACATATAGGGACTCAACGAAACGAAAGAGGTATGCCTCCATTCCTATCTGCTCACAATTTTTGCGTTTCCCCTTCAGAAATAGTGCACGCACTAGAGAAGCTTGGCACAAAGGTGAAATGGCCACAGAAGATGAAGTCTGACCCAAGTACCAATAGTCGAATGTCCTCTGTGAATATCACTAGGAGCGGGGTCACAAAACTGAGGAATGCATAGCTCTACGGCAAGAGGTAGTAAAAATGTTGAACCAAGGGCACCTGAGGAAACTAATGAGCGACCGTGGACGAGCTAACTTCGGCCGCGGGCGTGAACAACATCAGGTCCCTCCAAAGCTACCCTCACCCGCTCGCACCATCTAAATAATCAGCAGTAGAGGCGATGAAGCAATGATCAACCATACGAAGTTCACCACCACACACAAATTGAAGCGGTCGATCACCCACGAACGGTATGACGACCTCGGAGACAGTATCATCTTCGATAAGTCAGATACCGACTGTTTGGATTTCCTACATTTCGACGATCTTGTTATTACTTTATGTATTTCAGATATTGATGTGACAAGAATAATGGTAGATGACGGAAGCAACGCGTGTATTATCCACTCTCGAGTCCTCACACAAATGAGACTTAAAGACAAGATAGTACCACGCTGCATAACACTAACAGGTTTTAACAATGCAGTTGAGCGAACCTCTAGGGAGATAACGCTACCCATTCTGGCTGGGGCGTTAGCCTAGAAACAACATTCCACGTCGAACCAAGACACAGCTTACAACGCCATCATAGGGTGGCCATGGATACACGCATGAGAGCCATCCCGTCAAGCCTATATCAAGTGATCAAGTTCCCTACTCCGTGGGGGATATTCAGCACTCGAGGCGAACAACACACCACCCAAGAATATTATTGTATCACCCAGGATTGCACATTACCTCGACAACTAAAGGGAACAGACTCAGAAGCATAGCAATTACCAAAGTCGTGGACCGGACTCGACGCACAAACAAACATCATCAGAGACGCCAACATCATTGAAGCCACTTAGTTAATGGTAAAAGACCTCGATCTTGTCCAACTAGACAGCATCGACAACAGCAAGAGGGCTTACATCGGACATACACTCTCAAACCTAGGAAAATTTCATAAGTTTTTAATTGACAATGCCGATTTATTTGCCTTCTCCCATGCAGATATGTCGGGCATCCCGAAAGACGTCACCACACACAAGTTGAACGTCGACCCATTCTACCAACCAATGCGGCAAATAAGAAGAAAATTCAATGCCACAATCAACGAGGCCGTCAATAATGAAGTGGATAAGCTACTCGCCAATGGTTCCATCTGGGAATTAAATACACCCAATGGGTCGCAAATATGGTCATGGTAAAAAAGAAAAACGGGAAATGGCGGATGTGTGTGGATTTCACAAACGTAAACAAGGCATGCCCAAAAGACTCCTTTCCTTTGCCTCACATCGACCAGCTCATCGACGCAACAGCGGGACACGAATTGCTAAGCTTCTTGGATGCCTACTCGGGTTACAACCAAATCCTCATGGAGGAGGAGGACCAGGAGAAAACTACTTTTATCACCCATCAGGGAACGTACTGTTATAGAGTCATGCCATTTGGGTTGAAGAACGCAGGGGCAACGTACCAAAGGTTGGTCACCAAGATGTTCAAGGATCAACTCGACAAAACGATGGAAGTTTACATCAATGACATGTTGGTCAAATTAAAAAGGAAAGAAGACCACATCGACCACTTAAAA